ACGTTATCGATATTTGTGGTCAGAAAATGGTACTGGACCCAGTTAAAATACAAGAAACTGTACTTAATTGGGATTAAGCATTATATTTTATTTGGTAAGGAAAAATGAAGCCCTAATGACGAGTAATAAGAAAGGCAAACCGCTTCATGAATATTCACGATTTTAAATTACAACTTACGATTATCTGATACGGGTTATTAGACGTTTCCGTCTCTGTATGAACAAAATTGCAATTTAATGGACTGTTAGGTACGATGCACAACCGGAGTGCAACGGCGCGGTATAAATTTTACGATAATGTAGGTTTAATTTTTAATGTATACATATACCTATATCTATATCTATACAAATAAATAAAATTGAAGTGTCTGTTTCTAATGTCAAAATAACAGTTTTTTAATAAACGCATATAAAAGTATATACGATGTTTATAAGTATAACAAAAAAAAAACAATTTTTGAAATTTTCTCTGTCTGTCTTTCTGTCTGTTTGTTCCGGCTAATCTCCGAAATGGCTGGACTGATTATGACGGAACTTTCACTGGCAGATATCTGATATTAGAAGGTGTAACTTAGGCTACTTTTCCTTGGAAAAAGAATTAGGGTTCCGCGCAAAAAAAACTAAACATTAAATCCAATGTAATAATTTCAACGAAGACGAAGTCGCGGGGAACAGCTAGTTTAAACAAACAAGTTTAAATAAGCAATTACGCAGGGCTTTTTATGATCAGTGTGCATATTATTTCGACGTGTGCCTAAGCCATGTGATGTACATTCACTGTGGCTGGATTTGATCGTATTCTATATGGCGATTACACGTCATTTGTGCTTATGCACTACCAAGGGGTCTAGCCCTCTTTAACTAGTTCGCCAGCTATTTTCCTGTGGACTACGGTCCAGTACCTAACTTCTCGTCCATCTACGGGGGGAGCGCGTTATTTGGTTGGCGCACAACGTACACGGCGTTGGCATGTGTGTGACCGTGTGCCACTCCCACATTTTTTTTAAATGTGGGAGAGCGAAGCCCCTGTATCGAGTATTTTTACATTTGTGAGTCTTTGCCAACTGAGATGGGATTAATTATAAGGAATTGATTGATGTAAAGTTGTGAATGCAGAAACTGAATAAGGATCGTATAGCGGTACTTATAATTCTGTGTGCATCATAAACACACGGTCGTGAATTTGCAATGTCTAAAGTAAATGTCATGTGTTTCTCCAGAAAAACAAACGTTATTTCTTACTCCTCCTTTCCCATTGTAGGAAGTATTTGCCTTAATCATCGTGCTTGGAAAACTGGTGGATGGATGTTTCACTCTTTTTTTACTTCAAGCTCTTGCTTAATTTTTATAGAATTACGGTTACTAATGAGCAAATAGTCAGCTTGATGATAAGTGTGTGCTATGGTCCATAATAATAATAATGACCTCAAGACCGAAATTCGGACACAGAGGCCAGTTTAAATGGAGGCTACTCATCTGCGCAGGATAGGATTATAAGTTATGACCCACTCGTACGCAAACACAGTTGCACTCTCTATTTCCTCACTTTCATAGTCCAATTGGACGTCAAACCGATACGACCGGAGAGATGTCAGGCGCAGGACCAAGACTTTGCCTTACAAGACACGGTGGTGAAACTCCACCAACTTTCTGACCCCAGAGCGGCTACTGAAAATTTCTGGACAGAAAACTAAAAAACTAATTTATTTCGACGGAATTCGGAGTCATTAATATTATGATCAGCAGTTGCGTTTACGAGGAATCCTAAACTCCGAATACAACATTACCCAAAAGTATATTTCTTTCCACATTTCTTTTATTTTCTATATTTGTCTAATTTATTTATCGCCCGCAAATGCCGCTTTAATCGGTTAAAAAAATGTGTTACGTCAGTTGTGAATAGTACACACGGAATATCCAATACAGGAAATTTACAAAGAATGGTCACGTGTAATGTCTTGAGTTGATTTTTATGTTTAATAATTTGAATACAAATTATCTCGTCACTTAAAGAAATTCTGGTTTTAATAAAGACATAAAACAGGTCTGAAAATTTCAAGCAAATTAAGAACCTTTTAGATGGAATATAATGGAAGTGGATAAACAGTGTGGTGCCAGCGTAAAATAATTCAATACCACATCTCATCCCGTGGATGCTCTTATGATTTTGATGTTATAAAAAAAAACGTTACTTCCACACTAGGATTTTCTCCTGTATCGCGGGGGCAGTTTACAAGACAAACATCCAGATCCAGAACAATTATTTGTAGGCCATACAAATACTTGTTCCGTGCGGGATTCGAGCCCGCGGCCCCCAGCGCAGCAACTCATTGCTAAGCCACTGTACCATGGATCCGTCGGTACATGTACCAATAATCTGTACGCGTATTTGTAACTAAACTACTCGTTAACGGCTGGACCGAATTTTGATGATTTTTTATGTGTATTTGAGTGCGCCCTGGACAGTTCAGAGTTACAGTTGAAACTGGTAGGTGGCGCTGTTGTCGAGATCCCGAAATCACTCGGGTAAATCCGGTGCGGAGTGCTAGTATTTCTATGTTAGTTATTAATAGGAATATATCGTTTTATTTGTATAAGCTAAAATACTAACAAATCTTATCGAATTTAAAATCGTGAACTGACTAAATTTTAAAGCGCTACTTGATGTAGCAAATACAAATTATAAAAGTAATATTTGATTAATTTGTGTGTTAACAATCATTATTATTTATATATGTTGATGTGTTAACTAATTATGCATTTTCAAAAAGGCCTAACAGTGACATAAGAAATGGTGTTAGGGCTGCGCACAAAGCAGTCAAACACAGTAAAATAAAATTTGAGTGTAGTATGTTCAAAACTGAAAACAAAGATATCTAAAGACAATTCACTATTATTCTGAGTGCAGTAATTTTCTGGTAAATATTAGGGTAACATTTTCTAAAAAAAACATGTGTGCATTAGTGCAAACTAAACTTGGAGAGAATGAGATAAATGTAGAGTATCAAGAGTAGGATAATTGTAGGGATTATGTAATTAAAATATAAATAAATTTATAAAAACATGTGTGCAGTTCACACGCGGTAGAAGTGTGATATTTTTGCATAAATGATTCAACACAATTTGTATTGTTTAGAATTAAATAAATAAAATACATCGCCCCAAGAATGAATTACTGACTCGCTGGAGTCGAGTAACTGGTATGATGATGTATATATGTTTGTCTCTGATTTCGCGCGAGTGAAATCTTATTTTCTTCTTGATTACTGTCTTCTTTAAGTGCTCTTAAAGAAGACGATAATGATTACAGAAAAAAATTACATTTAATAAAATTCACTTGGACCAAGTGCATAATAAAATTAGTAAAAAATTTACAAACGGTTAATTCAATTATTTCCCAATTAAATGGTATAAATAATAAAAACTGCAATAAATTGTAGTATCATATAAGAAACTCAATATTAAAAAATATATTTTTCTCAATAATGAATTGAATATTACTAAGTGAATAATTACGAAATTAACAGTTAAAAATATAATTAATTAATAATTAACAATGTTATCGCCCTATGTGCATAGATGTTACAATTTCTACATAAAAAATGCAATTTTCAATTTTAGTAAAGTTTGTCATTCTTACGGCGGGTGGGCTAACACAGTTTTTAATTTTTATAAGGAGGAATAAAGCGTACGAACATCACATTCGGATTGCTGGCGGGAAATAAAATTTAATAATAACACCACGCTACTGAGTAACCACGGATCAGTATCGTATTATATGTATATTCCATTTCATAATAATGGGAAGAGAGCGTTTATGATGCCTGAAATAAATATAAAAACATGCCCACAAAAATGTAGGCACGGGCCGGCACGCACATACGCACATACGCAAATAACTTTTATTGTACAGATTATTATACAGATTGTCCGTATGATTTTAGTGATTGAAAAAAAAAGACTTATTTCATAATCTGTACACATCATCATCATCATCATTACAGCCCTTCACAAGTCCACTGCTGAACATAGGCCACCCCAAAGGAATGCCACAAAGCACGGTCCTAAGCCACCTGCATCCATCGACTCCCTGCTCTTACCAGGTCGTCACTCCATCTAGCAGGGGGACGCCCTACACTTCGCCTGCCGGTACGAGGCTGCCACTCGAGAACCTTTTTTCCCCATCGGTTGTCGGTTCTTCGAGCTCTATGGCCGACCCATTGCCACTTCAGCTTACTAATCCGTTGGGCTATGTCGGTCACTCTGATTCTAGTGCGGATATCCTCATTTCTAAGTTTATCACGCAGAGAAACTCCGAGCATAGCTCTCTCCATAGCTCACTGAGCGACCTTGAGCTTCCTTATCTGGCCAGCAGTGAAGCACCACGTCAGTTCAGTTCCATAAGCTATCACTGGCAACACGCACTGGTTGTACAGTCTCGTTTTCAAGTTTTGAGGTATACCTGACGAGAACTGTGCCATCTGTACACATGGTACGAGGCAAATACTACAAAATAATTCAAATACTTAAATAAATATTAAGATATTTAACGCTTAAATCAATTAAAAGCTATTTACGGATTATAATTAAAAAAAATACTAAAACTTTATTATCATACAGTTCTACTCCCCGTGGTATATTGCCACTAACGCTGGTTGTGTTTCCTCGCTAAATGGCTATACTTAGCCTTTGAGCGAGAAAAAAACCACCCCTTATGTCACCAGCAGCAACGACCAGTCGCAGGTAGAGTTCCTTTAGGAACATCACTACACGTGGACCCCACGGGCCAAAAGTATTTACAGCAAATGGCACAAATATGTATTCATCTCTCAGAGACTCATATTTGCGCCACTTACTCAATTCAGTTGTCTCTAATGCCGCCCCAGCTCTAAACGAGGTACTCCTGAGATGATAGGTCAGTTACAGAACGAAGGTTACATGAAAGTCCATGGAGCCCAAACTCGTCGACGCTACAAAAATATAATAAAAGCTATACTCACATAATTCCTTTCCTAGCACCCAAGTTTCTGGTTTAGAGTTCACCTCCACGAGGACAGTGGGCGTGCAGACCAATAACACCATTAAATCAGCAATGCTAAGATTCACTAGAAAAATATTCGTGGAGTTCCTCATGTCCTTTGTCTTCAAGATTACAATAGGCACCATCACGTTGCCTATCACACCCAAACACATTATCACTATACAAAATGTCATCGACGTCGCCTTTATGTAATATGGTATTTCAGCGTACTCTGTAAAATTGTCATTCGACATCTCGAATGACGAATTCGAGTTTTCGAATGTCGAGTTCGATTGGAACTCGTATCTCGGATCGAATAAATTCTCCGATGTTTTCGCGTATATCTCGTTGTGTGTATCATTTTTGTATGTGTAGTTTGGTATTTGATTGTGGTAGTAGTTGATCGGTGCGTGCGTATTCGTCGATGTGTGCGTAAAGTTGGCTATTGAAATCATGTGCGTTTGGCGGTACGGGAGATCATGGGGTTAGAGTTTCACATTTTTCTCAACTTCAACACTTCCCCTACAAGGTTTTCTTTCTTCTTTGTCAGCTTTTTTACCACTTCGATGCAATCTGCAACAATACATAAATGCAAATTAATAAACAAAAAAGAAGTTTTGAAATGAAATTCTAAAACTCAATAGCTATTAATAAACAATTTAGAAACTAAACGCCTTATGAATATATGCTCAATTATTCAGGAGTATAGTTTTGTTAAGCAAAATCCATCAATTACAGTCTTGTAGGTGGAAGCCATCAGTGTATGCGAACGTAAGGTTATTGTTTATAAAAGTAGCGTTTCTTGTACCGGTATATGCTATATTGGACAACTATTACTAGATGTATCAACGATCTATCCCGAACATAATTTCAAGGGCATAATGTATAGGACTCTTCCTTACGCCAAAACGCTTCTCAGAAACGAAATGAAGTGTGTGCCAAGCATCGGGTCATGATGCAATAGGGAAGACCTGTGTTCAGCAGATGATTTTCATAGGCTTTAATGATGATAATATTGATTTCGAGGACATAATGTGATCATCACGCGTGAGGACAGCGCGAAAAACTCTTCATAACGCCAAAGAGCCTCTTAGAAAATGGAGGTACATCCATTTTCTGAGAATCTTTTTGGCGTTACGAATAAAAAGAGAACAAAGATTAGGTCATATACGTGGTAGAGCCACGCTGCAGCTATATTATGGTTGTAGCGCCAATGGCTCGGCTTGATCAGATAAGGACCACGCTTTCAGAGAATACGAGCCTAAAACAGCAACTTAATGCAGCTGTGTTTCGTGTGGTAAGTGTGGAGAACTAGAGACCCTTTTTACTGGAAACGAGGCATTCCATCAACGTCCTCAGGGATGACAACGCATCAGTTTTGCATTCTCATTCTTAATTGAGGATAAATGTAGATTATTATGGGCCACAGCATCCACTTACCATCAGGTAGAATGTAGTGCTTGTTTGTCAACCTTATTCAATAAAAAAAGGTCAATGACTAGCATCAAAACGTTATTTACGCTTTTTTACATCCTCAAAAAATGAATTTATATAAAATTTTCAAAGCATCAATTCGTTAGTGGTATTTTAAATGTTTTTATTTACTAGTTGTTTTTTTATGTTTCTATATTTACACACTTCCCGTCATAAACTTCTAACTTTACATCTTTAGTAAAAGGCCCACCAAGATAGCAACCATATTCGTTATTATAAACATATATAGTTTATAGATGTTTCGGTTTATTTATGGGCCAATTCCAAACTTCTGCCGTTATTACAATAACATGATGAACAGCTTTATGTCTTTACAGTAAAGAATCTTTTCCAACGTTTTATATATTTACATACTGGTAAAAAAATATCGGCGATATGAAGTCGAATTGATGCAATGTAGCAAGAAAAATTCTTAGGTTGGGCTTACTTACTGTTCATCATCATTATCATTACAGCCCTTCACAAGTCCACTGCTGAATATAGGCCCCCCAAAGAATGCCACAAAGCACGGTCCCGAGCAACCTGCATCCATTGGCTTCCTGCATGTCTTACCAGGTCGTCACTCAATCTTGTGGGGGACGCCCTACACTTCACCTGCCAGTACGAGGCTGCCACTCGAGAACTTTTTTTCGGTTGTCGGTTCTTCGAGCTATATGGCCGGCCATGGTCTCTTCAGCTTACTAATCCTTTGGGCTATGCCGGTTACTCTGTTTCGGGATGTTACGAGAAGATGTGTATCTTCTCGTTAGGCATACCTCAAAACCTCAAAACGAGATTCTATAACCAGTGCGTGTTACCAGTAATGACCTATGAATCTGAGACGTGGTACTTCACTGCTGGACGTATGAGGAAGCTTAAAGGCGCTCAGCGAGGTATGGATAGGGCTATGCTAAGCATTTCTCTGTGTGATAGACTTAAAAACAAGAATAACCCCAGTAGAACCAGAATACTTACTATTATTTACCAAAAATTTCAAAAATAGAGAAGGTTGGGCTATATGGATGTATTAGGAAGGTAGGTCATATGGATGACTACATTAAAGTGATGAAGTCATCCATCCATATGACTTGATTACTTTAATGTATTAGACGATATCTCCGAGGCATAATAATTTCTGTTATGATCATCATCATTCCAGTCCATCACAAGTCCATTAAAGAAGACAAGACTATAACCACTGTCGTGTACTCTTGTTTTCAAATTTTGAGGCATACGTGGCGGAAAGATATGTTGTAATGACATGTTGGTCAATCCCTCGTCCCCGCTGCTCCTGCACGACAACGCGCGACCCATACTGCATAACAGACGATCTCCAAGTTACAAGAGCTGGGATTGGAAGCCCTCCGTCATCCGCCGTACTCATCAGACTTTACGCCTACAGATTTCAACTTTTTCAAGGATTTGCATAAAAAACATTCATTACCCAAGAGACAGTACAAAATGCTATTGAAGAATTTGTTGCCTCTCGTCCAGCTGATTTCGTCGATAAGGCCATCAATAAACTGCCACTGCGTAGGAAAAGATACATTGATTGCATGGGTGATTACTTTGATTAATATAAATAAAAATATAGAAAAAAAATACGTTAACTTATTTCACAAAAAAACGGCAATTTCATAGGTAAAGACCTAATACCATTGAGGTCATGAGCATAATGCTGATTTTCTTCTGATTAAGCCATATTGTCTATAATACCTTCGGTAAATCAAGGTAGGTGCTGTACTCTTTGTCGCTCGCTCTCTCTCTCTCCCTCTCTCTCTTCCTCTCTCTATTTCTCTTCGCAGTCGGATAAGTTTCGTTTCCAAAACTGGGTTTTGCATAGTCGACCTCCTTCTGGCCTAATATATGAGCAAATGTGTGAATCTCGTAAGATCTTTAAAGGCAGACTCAAATGGTGCTTAAATAACCAGGAGCAAATAAAAATGGACCAAATAGCAAAACTAAGAGCGGAAAAGAATTTCAGTAAGTTCTGGAAATCCACAGGGGAACTGAATGTTAGGCCTGGACTCCCGGCGAGTGTCGATAGCAAAAATGATCCGGGGGATATCGCAAATTTGCTCATGGAGCATTTTAAGGTGAGGTCTCCACTTGGTCCATCTGCTACCAAGACCGAGTCTGGGCCCGCCGTGCACGGGGAGAGACCGTTGCTTTTGTTTACAACCGGCCAAGTAAAGGATGTAATAAAAGGGATGAGCAGAGGAAAGTCTCCCGGTCACGACGGGCTTAGTATCGAGCACCTTAAATATGCAGGGGTGCATTTACCGAGGGTCCTGTCCCTGTTTTTCAATATGTGTATCAGCCACTCATACTTACCAGCTGATCTAATGAAAACTACTGTTGTGCCCATAGTGAAGAACAGGACAGGAGATATCTCGGATAAGAGAAACTATCGCCCAATCTCCCTCGCTACTACGATAGCTAAGATATTGGATAGTCTGCTTGACTCTTGCTTACAAAATTACTTACACCTACATGATGCGCAGTTCGGTTTCCGGCCCGGACTATCGACTGAAAGCGCAATTTTGAGCCTCAAGCATACTGTGCAATATTACACAGACCGGAGGACTCCTGTTTACGCCTGTTTTCTGGACCTCTCCAAAGCCTTCGATCTCGTCTCATATGATGTACTTTGGAGGAAGATGGAGGACAGGGGTATTCCAGCAGAGATAATCAATATCTTTCGGTATTGGTATGCAAATCAGCCCAATCATGTTAAATGGTCAAACAGTCTTTCCGAGTCGTACAGATTGGAGTGCGGAGTGAGGCAGGGAGGGTTATCGTCTCCGAAGCTCTTCAACCTGTATGTTAACGATCTCTTAGTGGAGCTCAGCAGCATGCGTGTTGGATGCCGTGTGGGTGGTGTTTGTATCAATAGCATCAGCTATGCGGATGACATGGTGTTGCTGGGTCCCACTGTGAATGCGATAAGAGAGATGTTGAAGGTCTGCGAGACTTACGCTGCCTCGCATGGTCTCGTATACAACATTGAAAAAAGTCAATACATGGTCTTTAGAGTCGCTGGCAGGTGTCCGGAATCTATCCCTGCAATAAACTTAAATGGATCGGAGCTAAAGCGGGTTTATCAGTTTAAATACCTAGGGCATATTCTTGCCGACGACCTTAAGGATGATCTAGACATAGAGAGGGAGCGTAGGGCTTTGGCGGTGCGCGGCAATATGCTGGCTCGTATATTTGCCCGCTGTTCGGACCAGGTCAAGATAACATTATTTAAAGCGTATTGCCAGGGTCTGTACACGGGTGGTCTGTGGATTAGGTATGCCAAAAAATCGTTAAACACCCTGCGAGTCCAGTACAATAACGTTTTCAGGATGATGTTGGCACTCCCCCGCTTCTGACTACAGAACTAGCTTCTGGCATGTTTGCACAGACCAGAACTGATGGTTTTCATGCCATAGTTCGGAAAAAAGTAGCGTCGCTGATAGGAAGGATACGGAGAAGTGACAACAGCATCCTGAGAACGGTGGCAGATCCGCATGCGCCTATTGTGAGGCACTTCGTGCGAACGATGACTCATACAGAGGATGGTTATTCTTCTAGGTGTCGACCGCACGGAGTGCCTCTCAGGTACATGACAAATTAGAATTTAAGTTAATCTAATTTTATTTCTGATTTGATTTGATTTAATTTGAATTAATATGATTTTAGTTTGATGTAATTTAATTCTAATATAATATAATATAATTTAATTAAATTTTTTATAAGTACTAACACTTAGTTTATAAGCGATAATGTAATACTAACCCATGGATCTTTGTTGTCTGAAATTAAATGAATTTGAATTTGAAAATTTGTATCCCATAAGTAAAAACACTTTTTATTAATATTTTTGCCTGTTTTATTTTTTCAAAAATCAGACAAATTATACTTTTAAAGTAATTCTATATAAATTACCACCAGAACCAATGATAAGAGAACGACCGTATTGTTTGGCATTCCTTGG